AATGCATATACCATACAGCACGTGGTTTGGAAATATGTGTGCAATTTTCGTTTAGCTTTTGCAACAATTTGTGTTTTAAGATTAACCACAAAATGTTGCATTCGCTTTTCGTATAACTGACCTCAATGAGTCTGCATACACTTGCAGAGGATATTATAATTTTGTCGTGAAATGTGTAACGCAAAGAAGGAGACATCTCCCAAAATATATATATTCTTGATCAGTATCAAAAGCCGAGTCGATATAGCCATGTCCCTCTGTCTGTCTGTCAGTTTCTATGCGAACTAGTCTCTCAGCTTTAAAGCTTTAAAGTCCCTCTTTCAGTTGCACGCAGTACATATGTCGGAACCAGCTGGATCGGACTACTATATCATATAGCTGCCATAGCAGGTTCTTATATGAAAAACTTTTTTGTTTATCAAGATATCTGGACCAAACTTGGCATTCACTAGTTTAACTATGCTCCTTATATATATGCAACATCCTAACAACATCGGACCACTATATCATATAGCCGCCATAGGAACGATCGGTCGAAAATAAAGTTGTTGTATGGAAAACTTTTTTGTTTTTCTAAATATCTTGACCAAACTCGGCATTTATAGGTCTTATTATGCTCCCTACATTTGAGGAAAATCTTATTTACACCGGACTACTATATCATAAGCTGCCATAGGAACGATCGGACGAAAACTAAGTTGTTTGAAAAACTTTTTGTTTTTTAAGATATCTTAATCATACGCGGCATAGGTGCGGGCAAAGCAATATGAACATTATGAAAAGGTTGGGTCTGCAAGGGTATTAAATCTTCGGCGTGCCGAAGATAGCCCTTCTTTCTCGTTTTTTCTTTTGCACACTGCAGTAAATGTACTTCAAATTAATCAAAATAAAATAAAGATTACAATTGCTGTATGAATACCACATTTGAATAACTTTAAAGTTCCATCTCTTGACTAACCAATCCCTTAAATCAAATTCATTTCAACCCACAATTCGTTTTCGAAATGGTTTGTCTTCTTCTATAAGTTTTCCTTATATTTTGCAGAAGTTTATAGATACAGCCACCTCTCAAAGAATTATGTTATTATAGTCAATAGGCGAAATATTTTCGCATTCTCAAGCCACGAAAAAAGCAAAGAGTATATGAACCAAAGTCAAATAGAGAGAGCATCAATAATAATATAGAGAAATAACCGATGGGAGGTCAAAGTGTGGCGTAGCCGAGACCCTATCTTAATTACAAAACATACATTTAAATACAAGTGTTTGAGGCAAAAGTCTTAAATATTGCTTTTCCGGCTCAATTAACGCTGAAATTTGTTTACGTTTTGAATTTGCATAAGAGCTACATTATTCAAACCTTTTTATTTGTTATTGTTGTTTTTGGTGTAGTTTTTTTTCTTCTTGTTTTGTACTCACTTTTATGGAGTCATATGTTGTTGTTGTTGTTGTTGTTATAATTGCTGCTTGTGTATCAAAAGTCAACTGAAATTGCCAAATAAACGTGAACCATGAACAGTTTTTATTTTGAGGTCGCTTCGCAGTTGATTTGGGCCGAGCGAAACACCTTACGCAAGTGGGCGTGACAGTACCTTGACTGGGCCCGGGTCTAACCACGGCGGGGGCTACATTTTGACAATAAGTATAAAATCGTATAAGGGGTCGGGCCATGTTAATGACACGACGCAGTCGCGTGTGACTTCGGGTAGACATTTCGCAGTAGCTCAATTAAAATCTAAAAATGAATGTTAGATAGAAGATAAGACGTCCAAAAATAATTATTGGCCAAGTAGCAAATGGGTCTGATGGGTTTACCAGACAATATAAGGAAAGTTGTTCGGCTTGAAAGAGACAAGTTACTTGATTTGCTAATCTTTTATTCTTATTTTTATTTATTATTTATTAAATGCATTTAGATTTTTTTCTGCCTTCGCCTTAATACACTTAATTCTGTTTTACACGATTTTAATTTAATACGGCTTGATGATAAAATTTGGTAAAATATAAAATTTTTAATTTTTTTCACAATTTTAAGCCATTTCGCACGATTTTAAATCTTTTGGGCTTAAATGTGTTAAATATGTTTATATCACAAATTAAGTTTTTTTTTTGAAATTTTGTTTATTTACACTCTGTCTTGAGACAATAAGTAAATTTAGTTAGCTTTAATTAAAATGAACAGGAATAGAAAATTTCCAGTGAAACCTACTATTATAATTTACTTACATATTTTGCATGTCACGTTGAAGTTGTACTTATTTTATTTATCTATCCGGGAGATCGAGAATATGCACTCTTTTAAGTCTTTTTACTGCTAGACTATTATCTGTTAGATTTAAGGACATATTTAGGTGAATCCCCTTTTTGTGCATGCAAGCAAATTAACTTGTCAGTGCAATTGTTAATATTTTGTAAACTATCAATGCAATCACACGTGTTTAGTAACGAAAATTTTTTATAGAAGAATTTGTTTTTCCCACCTTACATTAAGTTTAATTTTAACGTATTAAGATAAAAGGTCAGCCAAAAAATAAAAACCTATTCTTTTTGTTAACAACATAGTTGTTTTACATAATTGCTTTTAGTTCCTGAACTTGTCATACATTTAATTTAATTTACTTTCAAACTTAGAGTGCATATGTGATTCAATAGGTTTTAGAGATAATGAATCAATCACATATTTTTGCATACGATCAATGTGTTTTTTTTTTCACGGGGACCAATCTACCGTGTAAAAACAGAATTAGGTGTACTTATAATATGCATTCGTTCTTTCTGTATTCAACTCAAAAAGGGAAACGACAACTTAATTGTTGGCATTATTTCAACTGGTATTCCTTGTCTTTACTTGATCAGATGATGATGCTACATCCCACACCCGCACAGCGAGTAAGCATTCGCGAGGAGTTGCGCGAACCCGAGGATCCAGCTGATATTGAGCGTGATATTAAACTGATTCGCGAGTGGCTGGAGACCCAACCGCATCTGCCGAAGGATATGGACGATATGCGTCTGACAACATTCTTGCGGGGCTGCAAATTCAGCCTGGAGAAAGTGAAGAAGAAGCTGGACATGTACTATACGATGCGAAATGCGGTGCCCGAGTTTTTCGCCAATCGTGACATCAATCGCGAGGAGTTGAACATTGTCCTGGACTATGTGTATTTATAATTAACAGCATACCTTCGATTATCCTACCTAATATGATGGCTTCTCTCTTTGCAGTCACTGCCCCACACTGCCGGGAATTACCCCCAATGGACGACGCATTACGTTTATTCGAGGCATCGATTGCGACTTTCAGCCACACCATATTCTGGACGCAATGAAAGTGGCTCTGATGATTGGCGATATCCGCTTGGCGGAGGAGTCCGTCGGCATTGCCGGCGATGTGTTCATCCTGGATGCGGCTGTAGCCAGTGCATCGCATTTTGCTAAATTCTCGCCGACGGTGGTGAAGAAGTTTTTGATTGCCGTACAGGAGGCGTATCCGGTTAAGGTGAAGGAGGTGCATGTGATCAATATTTCGCCATTGGTGGACACCATTTTCAACTTTGTTAAGCCCTTCGTCAAGGAGAAGATCCGCAGCCGAATTACCTTCCACAACGATGTGGAGAGCCTGTACAAGGTGGTGCCACGCGACCTGCTGCCCAATGAGTACGGCGGCAAGGCGGGACCAATTGTTGAGCTCAACCAGTGGTGGAAACAGAAATTGGCTGATAATACCGAATGGTTCAAGGAGCAGGAGGACAAGAAGGCAAATGAATCATTACGCCCAGGCGCACCAAAGACAAGCGATGATCTGTTCGGCATGGAGGGCACCTTCCGTCAGCTAAACATAGATTGAGTTTACAATAATATTCAAAGTGTTTTTCATGTGTATTTTACATCTTTTTTTACATTAACCAATCATTTATTTAGTCCATACACAATTATATTGTTCGCTTTACGCTTCATTTCCTATATGCATATATGTACCTCATGTTGTCTCACATCGCCGAAAATCGCAGTAATTACAATAAAATAAATAAAAGCCAATTAAGGAATGAATCAAAAATATACACAAGTTGTTTAAATTCTTATACAAGACCAGACTTTATGACGGCTTTACTGGCATAAAAATAATTTAATAATAATTTACCACCCTTCCACAATTAATATAGGGAATAAGTTGAATTACTTTACTCTTCAATCGGAAATCACTAAAGTACAGCAAAGAAATACCATAATGTAATTGAATTATGGAACTCGATGTCTCGATGCCAATGCCAAAACTGAAACCGTTTAGTACTTACCTCTGATTAATTCTTGTGCGTTTCTAAGTACACTGCAATCGATTTAGGGTATGCGACATTGTCTATGAAGTATGTCTCGGCTATAAAAAATTGATCTTAGGTTGTTCGCACTTATTACAGTATATTTATGTATACAAAAATTAAGGAAATCCTCTTTTATATCTATAGTTAATGAACTAATCATATATATATATACATATAACAAATTAACTAATCATATATATATATATATATATATATATATGCAATCGAGTTACGGTATGCGACATTGTCTATGAAGTAGGTCTCGACCATATACAAAAATAATGATCTTAGATTGTTCACATCTATTACAGTATATTTATGTATAATATGTATTTAAAGTTGAAAAAGAAAATGAAGGAAATCCCCATTTATATCAAAAATTAATTAACTAATCATATATATATATATAACAGATTAACTAATCAGATTTCTCCAGGTCTTGATTATTTACCTCGCATGACTTTCTTAACTTTTTTAATATTTTTCTTGATTCTCAAAATGTTCACTCTGGAATATATTGCAAAAAGAAATAAATTTGTCTCTAAGCTTTTTAATTTCAACAAATATTATGTTCAATTTAAGCATTCTCCAAGCATTATTAAAATTTTCTTTTCTTCTTTCGATTGGTTGGTTGCACAGGCTGCCATTGAAACCAATTAAAGTATTTAAAAAGTTTTTGGCTTATTACTTATTAACAATATATATAATTTCAATCAAAAGTTTTGACAGCAAATGGTTGCCTCGTAGCTAATAATTTAAAGTTTATATATAAACACACATAATTACAAGTATCCACAGCCTATTTAAAAGCGTGAAAGTTCGAATCCTGTTCGATTAGCATAGAACAGCATGAAGTGCTCGGATATTCCAATTGAGGAGGAGTCGCAGCGCCGCGATCTGTTCGTCTTTATACTCTCGACAATGCGCGTGGCTGGCATGTATCCATTTCGAATGGGAAATCGAGGCAGCTGCCTAAATCTCTTGCTAATCGCGTTGAATTGGATCTACGAGATATTTAATTATTTTGTGTGCGTGCACATCGCGGTATTGTTTATCTATACTATCTACACTTACTACGGCCAAGGTGATCTGGAGTTTCTGGTCAACTGTCTGATACAAACGGTCATTTACCTGTGGACCATCACCATGAAGTTATACTTCCGACGCTTCAGACACAGGCTTTTAAACGAGATAATCAGCTGTCAATGAAAAACATCAGATACGCTCGCCGCAGGGGTTTACCTATGTGACCGTCACGGGAGCCCTGCGACAGTCTAATTTATGGATCAAAAGCTATGTCTACTGTTGCTTTGTGGGAACCATATTCTGGCTGGTGCTACCCATAGTTTACCGAGACGGAAGTCTGCCCTTAGCATGCTGGTATCCGTTTGATTATAACGTAAGTCCGAATGAAGTCAAAAATGCGAGCTCTTGTATATTGTTATTTTCTACAGCAACCGATTGTCTACGAATTGGTTTTCTTTCTCCAGGCTGTCGGACAGATTCAAGTGGCTGCCGCCTTTGCTTCCTCCAGTGGTTTTCATATGGTTCTAGGTATACTAATATCTGGCCAGTATGATGTGTTGTTCTGTAGCCTGAAAAATATTCTAGCTACCAGTTATTTGAAGATGGGCGCCAATATGGCCGTGCTAAGGTTATTTCCCTACATAGACAAAACAAAATCATGCAATAAATCTTACCGATTTATTCTTTTCGACTTCACAGTAAACTCCAAAAAGCACAATCTGTGGCGGATGACGAGTTAAATCAATTTTGTTACTCCTCAGAAATTACGACTCCACTGGAAAAACTGATACAGCAACAAAAACCAGACAATTTTACCAACTTTCCCGCCGCCTTCAACCATTCGTTGACGCGCTGTGTGCAGCAACATCATTATATTATATCAATTCTGGAAAAAATGGAAAATTTCTATAATCCCATTTGGTTGTTCAAAATCGCCGAGGTTACTTTTCTTATGTGCCTGGTGGCATTTGTTTCAATCAAGAGCACTGCGGTCAATTCATTGATGCGCATGGTGTCCTTGGGCCAGTATCTGCTGTTGGTCCTCTATGAGCTCTTTATCATTTGCTACTTTGCCGACGTTGTATATCAGAATAGTCAACGATGTGGGGATGCACTCCTGCGAAGTCCTTGGCAGCTTCATTTGCGTCAGTTGCGCAGCGATTATATCATTTTCTTGATCAATTCCCGTCGCTCCTTTCGACTGACTGCTGGTAAAATATACAATCTGAATGTGGACCGATTAAGAGCTGTAAGTAATGTGTTTTTATATTAATATAATATATTAACATACCTTTCATATTATTATCGATTCTTTCTTTTTTATCTTACAGACTATTACAACAGCCTTTTCCTTCCTGACTCTACTGCAAAAAATGGATGCGCGTGGATAAAGAATGCTTGACTCGCAATTCCAGTTTATTTTATTTTTTTTAAATATATTACAGTTATTAAAATTGTTTAAAAAAAATGCATATAAAGTAGTACACATAATTATTAAATGGCAAAGACATGCCGGTGCGGAGTAACTGTTTACATTGTTCGTTACTGATTCCAGACAAAGGTATATTTTAAATAATTATAAAAGCTAACATTTATTGTATTCCATTTGTTGCGTTCAACAGCGACTTGCTCAATCTAATATCGCATGGTCTCAATTTGTAGTGCTTCTCAATATTGCAATAAATAATTTAAACGAAAATCATACAAAACTAGATTCTTTTTTTTTTTTAATATTTTAAATAAATAAGCACTTCATTGTATTTCTGTTATGGCTTTAAAACTATAAGCAAAAATCATATACATTTATAAGGTACTTGGGTTTACTCTATCCGATATTAACGTTTCCTTGTCCAACCACTTTATACTATTGTGTTAACTACATTGAGCAAGAATTAAATTTAACAATTTCTTTTTGAATTTCGTTTGTTTTTGTTAAAGATTTTTACATTGAATTTGTGCTCGGCGTTCAACATTTTTACATTTATGCTTTCTTGTACAGTATCAAAAGTTGATGTAGTATTTCGACACATTAAGCGAATGTTTGCTTTGATTTTTCATTATAGCCAATTACTACAGTTCTTTTGTTTTTTTACAATACATACAAATGTTTGCGTATAATTAGTTAATAAACATTTTGTAATTATTATGCGTTTTTCCTCTGAATTTGCAGTTCTAGTTTTGTTTTTGTTTTCATGAGAAATGTACATTTGTTTATTTGATTTTTAATTGTGAATTTCATGCGCATATTTGAATATTTCTACTCAATACAGCAGCTTATACAAATTATTCTTTATAGCGACTGCTTAATTTTGTTAACATACATAATTATTATCAGAAAAATATATGTATTTATGATTAATTTTTATATTTATAGGCATTTTTCATTAATTTTTTGTATTTGCTCAGAATTGTATGTTTTGCAATAGCAATACAACAACAACAACAACAACAACAAGAACAACAATAAGGCGAGCTGATATATAAACAAAACAAAACTATTGGCATTATGCGTGTGCTTTTGATAAATGCAATACGTTAGTTGTCGATGTTTTTGTTTTGGTTCTTTGTGCTTTACATTAAAGCTCTTTGTGTTGTTGCCGGAGTGCTTGGAATTGTTGTTATTGCCACTGCTAGCCAGTTGCTGTTGTTCACAAAGCTTGTTGCTGCTGTTGATGCCTAAGTTGACTAGTATGGAGTTGGTGTATTGCTAGCTCGCAAGCGACATATGAACGATACTCGTGCTGTTGTCGTGATTATAGTGCTCTGTATTAACAATGACCTGCACCACATAGCCTTGGTGTATGCTGCACTCATCAATGGGTACCTTATCGCCCAGCAGCTTACCGCTGTAGAACCAACGTTGGCAGCATGCATCGACGCCCTCTACAGACTGCATGATAAAAAATTAAAGATTGAAACCTCTATCAATCAAATAAAGTTTTAGTCTTACACACCTGCAGCTTTTTCTTGCACTGTCCCACCGTATCCTTTGAGTATACCGGCAGTTTAACATCAGTCATTGTCGATGATATGCGCAGTTTCAGAAAGATTTCGGTTCCTCCATCTACGGGCTCTGAGTATTCAGCTGGCGAGTCGCGTCCATTCTCCTCCTTCACAATGTTAATGGGATAGGACAGACAGTAAATGGGCACCTTGTACTGTGTACCCAGTTCATCGTAGCATTCTGTGAGGTAGCTGCAAGAGAAGGATATTATATGTATATAAGTTACCAGCATCGGTACATTAACTTATCAGCAATTGACTAAACAAACATTCTTTTAGAGCAAATAATATCAACAGCATAGCAAAATGTAAAAGATCCAACTTTGTAATTACAAGATATGATGTGCACCAGAATATTACGAACAGAATATTTTGGCTGTCAATCAAAAATCGATTTTTTATACCTTTAGTCCAAAAGTGGACACCTTAATAGACTCGATTTTATTCTTCGAAAAATATCTACATGTCCACAGCGTAAATACTAAACATTGAAAAGTTTACAACTCTGAACTGTCGTCATTTTCTTTCTTTTTAATGTACACAAATGAAAACACAATTTTCCATAAAAATTGAATTTCTTGAAGTATTTGGTCTACTAATCAAATTTATTTTTATATCCACACCATGTTATATTATTATTAATTAATAAAATGAAGGCATGCAAAATATTGTGGGAAGGCATCAATAGATTTATATGGTCAATTTAATCACATTTTATTGATTTTTTGTAGGTGGCGTCAAGAGTAATTAGCGTTTAATGCAGCCGCGTTGGGAGCGGAGGGGGTTTGGTTTATTTGATAGAAGTCATTTGGTAAAACTTACCCATTGGGCACGGACACATTAGCGCCATCTAATATGGCCTGGGCCATTTGAAAATCCAGACATTCTGCTGCATTTGTGGCCGCTCGGAGCGCATCCCAAATCTCTTTGCGCCCGTCAAATGCCGGAGCAGTGTCCCAAAACTCGTCCCGTTTGGAGCGCAATTGTCCTTCGGTTAATGGGACGTCCGAGCGCCACTTAATGGTCTCATGGCACAGTGGACGATTCTTGCGCGCAGCGCCCCCCAAAGCGATTCCTATGTGACACATACAATAACAAAGCATTTCACATTGATAATGGATGCAAATTGATGTTGATGTGGAAAGGCTACTCACCTGCGCTGGCCGGACGCGAAGCGCTCGCCGAGGAAACACTCATTGTCTCATTGTCGGGATTCATGCGACATACACAGGCTCCCATTGTTCCGTCCTTGTTCTTTTACTCACATTAAAAGATGTTTTTATGGCTACGGTGTGTGCGTTTGTGTAATTTCAATAATTTTTACACGAGCAACAGCCGAACAACGCGACATACAATTTTAATGCAGTGTGGCCAGAGTTATAAAGAACCGTTCATACAGTTCGTTCAAAAGACTCACTGTACTGAACGAGAGAACTAGATCAGCTTATTCGATTATATTTTATCGTTCACTGTCACTTTTTACTTATCATGTATTCTTTTAATAATAAAACACACAAATATACTGTCACTAACAGGAAACAGTAATTTTTCTAGGAAATTGTCTTGTAACATCAATTAAATTTGTAACTACCATTCGATTAAAATTCAATTATAGCTCGGTTCGAACTTAACAGCTGGGTGTTTGATAAAAAGAATTAACGAGCCCTAACAATGCGAATGTAATGTGACCGAATTTTCTCATGCTTTTTAATCGATAATAATCGCATGCATTTTAACGTATTTAAAAAAGTTTCTCAACTCTCCACTAAAAGTCGGATGTTTTTGGTCGTTAAAAAGTTGAATTTGTATAAACATAGTTTGTTTTAGATAATAAAATAGAAGTGCAGCTGTTTTTCCTAATATATTACATTTACAAGTTAATATTCCTTAGAATGTCTTCACTTACTTAACCTTCCCCATCAGAGACAATAACACATCATTTTCCTAATCCTTTCTTCCTCATTTGTTTTCCTTATTATTCCTTCTTATTATACTTTGTTGTTTATCATAAATTAATAGAACACAACGAATAACATAATTTATTAAACAGCTCCAACAGCTGGCTTTTCTCATTGCAGCGCTTGATTATCTGCTTACCATTAGGAGAGGAAGCACTTACCATAAAGGCAGAGGTTAAGAAGTGACTGAATTCGGTGCCGTCAAAGAGAGAAACAAGCAAAGCAGAGTTTTCTCGAAAATGCTTGGCTATTAGATGCCCCTTACCCATGTCTGAATTACGTTACCAAAAAATACTTGCACACAGAGCTAAATTTATTACTAAAGTAAAACTTATAAAATCAAGCTAATTATAATGCCAGGTCCATCATATATGAAAAACTCTAAAATAATGCTTGAGAAATGTTAATGTCATGGCAATCGCAGAGCTGCGGTGTAGCGGAGGAAATATTAATAAAGTAAAATACAATTGATAATCTTATTTTATAAAAGAAACTACAATATACATTTTTTGTTAATAGATCCTCGTCAACATTCGGATAATAAATATGATAAATATATTTATTGCGCTCGGTTTGCACAGCATCAACATGCTCTTTCACATAATGGGTAAAGGGTACAAGAAAACGAAACCAGACGACCTCGACAAAGTTGTCGCAAAAAACATGTATTTCTGCAGCAAACAACAAACCTCATACTCACTGGATAGGGAGAGGCAAAATATTATGTTTCCAAACGGCTAGCAAAAGAGCTAAATAAAAAGTGAAAATAAGAGAGTAAAAACTTCTTAAAGTGTACACACATACATTGCCATACGTTGCCACTACTACGAATCCACAGCCAACTGAACCGAAGAGCAAAGCAAGTACAAGCTAACAAGAAAAACTCAAGAAACAACCACGCTCATATTTTACTTCCAGTTGCCAACGGCTTAAGCTAAAGAAGTAGCAATCAGAGTCATGCCCAGAGCCGCAGTTGCGTCCACTTCCAATAAGCACAAACGAAAGACTTCAATTTAGTTTGGCGAAGACAACGAACTCGAAAAGAGCTTTGCGCGGACAAAAGAAACGGCCGAAAGCAAATATCACGTCTGCGTCTGTGGCCCCCTCTCAAAAAACGGTACGTGCGCGCAGGCGTATGCGTATGCACACATGTACATGTACATATATGTACATGCATACATATACATGTGCATGTATTTGTGTATAGCTGGCTAAAAGTTTAATGCAGCAGCAAAAAGAAAAACAAGACAACACGGGCAACGGTGAAATAAAAGAAATAACGAATAATTCGAAAGAAATTAAATGATAAATATAATTTGTATTTCAAAATGTTTGAGCCACGCAGACAAATCGAGAAAAATGCAAAATACATATGTGTGTGTAAAAACGTATTTATAAAGTGTGTAAAGAAATCCTAGCAGAGTACAGAAAAGTGAAATATACATACATATGTATGTACATATGTAAAGGTCAAATGTGTATATGTTAAGTGAAAACGAAGAAAAAGCGCGTTGAAATAGTTGAGAGCAGTCTACTCTGAAGAAGCTCTTGGCTTTCGTAACAGCATTCACTTCTACTAATTTACTGTAGTTAAGGCTAGGCCAATATAATTTCTCTTAGTCTTTTTATTTCATCGTCATTCGCAGTGGCATCAAACGGTACATATTTATATGTGAAAGTTATGCGCCAGACAAATACAAAGCACAATCTCATTCTCATTTATTCAGTAGTCTCTTTTCGCTTAGCTAAGATTTATTTTTCTTTCACTTCTGATTTTTTCGCTGACTAACGGGTTTTGTGTAAGACTATGGCAACACTTTTGCTTTTTATAAGCTGCAGTCAAAATAAAAACGGGCTATTTTGCGATTTAAATTCGTTATGATTTTGCGTTGTGTACCAAAACCCGTTTCGTAAAAAAAAGAGACACAACACACACCTTAAAAACAAGTTGTTCTATAAATTATAAACCTTAATTAGCAAAGCATTTTCTTGCCACTTAACAAAAAACTGTTAACTATATAGATGGTATAGCTGTGGCTGGTATCAACGGCTAAAATTCACCAAATAAAATCCTTAAAAAAATGTCAATTTAAAAAGTATTCAGAAGATATCCAGGCTGTTCATCTAATTGGCATTTTTAATCTGCGCCACTCAATTTTCGCAGAATTTTAAAGGCCGCACGACAAATTTTTTTCTGTGGAGCTTTACAAGCAGTGAGTCGGTCTCTCTCTCTCTCTCTCTCTCTCACTCTTCATTCATTTTTTTTTGCTCTCTTCTCTACTGTTTGTCTTTCTCAATTAAATTTTAGGCAACGTCTTTGTTGCGCTCAGCTAAAATGTCTCCGCAAATATTCAATGCTTATTGCTCAAATTGGACATATTCTTATTTGGACCGATAACGGTTCTTGATTTCTTGGCGTAAAATTGGAAAGGCGAAAACTCTTTATATTCATATATGTTTGAAACATTTCAATTGGTAATGGGTGAAGCCCAAAATTGAATACCAGTTTAAAATTAAGTTACGCATAGCGTAAAAACCATATTTTGGGTTATGAGTAAACTTTGTGAATCATGGTGCATAATTAAGGTGTATAGACAGAGAGTCCTTAGTTATGGGCAAAAATGGCATTCAGTATGGATGGAGTGCAGTGGAAGTCGTACGAGCCGTTCAAATTTTGTGAGTCAGAGTTGGTTGAGGTTGAGGTCTTGAATTTATTTATGTGTATCTGCATAACAGTATTATGATGGCAGATAATCAGTGACTGGAACTTGACTCAATGAGTTGGCGGAACAAAAACATATTAAAGAACTCTTAATTGACAGGTCTGGAAGGGAAATTGAGGTTTGTTGAACTGTAGGCAGAATTCAAGAATAAAATATAAGGCTTATATGTAAAACCGAACAGAATAAATACCTAAGACCGATATACCTGAACTATTCTCCATTTAGATCAGACTTACTTGAGTACAAACAGTTCAATCCGGTTTAGTCCATATTACCTTTCTTTGTCGCCATTCTGGCAACATTTATTTCTGCTATTATCTGTCATTGTTTGGGCATGTTTTGCGCATACTTTTCAAGTCGATCACTGTTCCTGTTGTACTCTATTAAAAACTGGTTGGCTGGCAATGCTTATGATACAAGTTGGACTCAGTTGTCGGACAGCCGGACAGCCGGACAGCTTGGCGTGGCCGGTTTGGATACGTTCGGTTCGATTGGTTCGGTTTTGTTTCCGTTGTTAAATGTAGCAATCAATTTCAACCAGCAGCCAACAGCAGTTGCAACTACTCAGTTGCTGTTGGCATGACGGCAATGCTGTCGTTGTTGTTGTTGTTGTTGTTGTTGTTGTGTCTTGGCTAGTAGTATCTTATTCATAGATTGTTTTTTTTTATTATAACATTTTTTAGACTTTCACTTTTTGTTGCCTTTGTATTTGCTGGGTTGTGCGGCATTTAATTTGTTGCTTGAATCACGACGTACAGCTCAACAATATGCTCAAGTATGAAATACATATATGTATGTATATTGCACAAAATTTTTATGAATATTGTTAATTACCAGGCATTACCGTTCACTCGGATACTTTGTTCGCTAACGCCCACTGCATTAGGCGATATGATTTTTATGAAAAAAAATTCTTTACTGGCACTGTTAAGGCTAAATTGCATCTTTTGAATGACCAGTTTCTTGTTGTTACCCAGCCCAAGGCCTGCTGGAGTTGCTTTTCTCTTAGTTGAGTCTTTAAAACCGGTCGCTTATCGTAGATCTCAAACTTGAGTGTTGGCTGCGTCTAGTCGGAATTGTGGTATTTAATCCTTTGCTGCTCGACTTTTCTAGCTGTAGGCACATTTATACACTTTTCTTAGTGTTGGCATGAATGTGTAATAAGTTTTCAACTGAAAATGTCTTTGGTTAGCTCACATTTGGTATGGCTAGCACGTTTTGTGTTTTTATTTACTTTTTCATCGGCTGAAACTCGGGATTTACGTCAACTGTTTAATGCCTAATGTGTCAATTCAGTTCAATCAACTTAAACTCATTTCCTCTGAAAAGGAAGGGCACGCTGGGAAATTCCCCCCGCAAGTGTGGATTGGCCCCAAACTTGCATTCAAAGTTCTTTATTCTTTGCTACATTCCTCCTTGGTATAAAAATGGGGGTCCAAGATTTGGTGCGTGAAATTTCGCACTCAAACGAAATATCCAAGAACATGTAACACTCTTAGGAGGAGGAGAGTTTAAAGATACCCAAGAAAACTTTTTAGTATATTAACTTAAATCAAATTTAAAAGTAGGCAACGTTATCAAAAAAATGAAGTTCAGTAGGACTGCATTTTCGGGAAAAAAATACATGTTTACGAGCACACAAACAAAATGAAAAAAGAATTAATAAAAAAAACGACCGTGACAGGACTCGAACCTGCAATC